AACCAAGATGCATTATGTAAAGGTACAATTCCCAATGAGAAATGTAATTGTGTTATATACCTACAATGTACCAATAAAAGAATTTAATACAAAAGAAAAAAGAAAAGAAAAGGATACAAATCTATGGTACAAAATTAGGTATGCACATGAATTTTGTTTAGAATAAAAAGGAAACTAAAACATTATAAGTACTAAACTAATGGCAAACAAACAAAAGGAAAGAAGAAAAAGTTACTGTAATCCAGCATGGATAATATATCTATAAGTGTACTTTGATTTAGTATAATCGTCTTATGTGTTTTATATGTTTTTTGTCCTTTTAGTTGGGCTATTAATCTCCATATATGATAACTTCATAAAGATATATAAGAGAAATAAATGAACCTGATGCTAGAAAAAAAAGGAGGTGGAAGAAAAGAGAAAAAATAGAATTGAGATGTGTTATGTACATGTACCAATTCCCCACAGTGAATGTAATCCTTATGTACTGCAGACATATATTAATAAAAATAAAAAATTAAAGAATGGCAAAACAAAAAACCCAAAGACAAACAAATAAACAAAAAATGGTGTATCTCTGTTTTAATCAAATCTTTAGGTTCTTAAAGAACAATAATTTTCTTTATAAATGCCTTGCATATGTATTAAGTGATTCCCTAGGTACCTTAATATTTATCAATATCAAGAATGTGATTTTTTTCAATAATTTTGCTAATTAGATATTACTCATACAGTAAAATTACTAACTTATGTATGTTAATTTCATAATCAGCTACCTTGTGGAACTCTCTTTAAAGCTCTGATAATTTATTTCATTAACTTTTCTACATGAGCACATTGTCTGCAAATAAAGATAGTTTTACTGCTCCTTTTTAACCTTCATAACTCATATTTTTCTCTCACCTTAATGTAGTCACTTGGCATTTCTCAACAAGTGTGCTACTGCCAGTTGGGGCAGACAGTGTTTGTTTTAAGGCCAGCCCCACACAGTGTGGGATGTATAGTGTCCAGGCCAGCCCACCCCCTGCAGCCCATCCACGTGCCTGCTGCATGCCAGAAACACCTCCTCATCATTCTTACCAACAAAAATGCCACCTGTACTTCCTAATGTCCTAATGTAAGAAGGATCATAGCTCAGCATGAGAAATGTGGCTAGGATCTGTTCTCTATTTTCAAACAAGAACAGTGAGTAGTATATCCTTGTCTTTCTGTACTTTAAGGCTAAGGTGTCTAGAGTTTCACCTGTGGGTTTCCATTTACTGAAGGTCATTGTAGATACTCTATCTCACATTTCTAAGTTTCCTTCTGCTCCTACTTTATTTCAGGTTTATGTTATGAATGGATATTGAATATCATCAAATACTTTTTCTGTTTCCATGAAGCAGTTTTGCTATATTTTCCGATAAAATGGTAAATTACATTGGTTGGTTCTGAAATTGTAACAAACTTGAATATCCCTAATTAACCCACTTGGTTATGATATCATCCTTTCAAAATATAGCAGAATTTGATTGCTGGTATCTTATTTTAAATTATCGCATATTTCTTCATATGTAAGACAGTCCTATAATTTTCCTTTTTAGTATTGCCCTTACATAGTTTTCAAATCAAATACATACTAGCTGCATAAAATGAATAAATTAACTTCTATTTTTTCTCACTTAGCTGAAAGAATTTGCAAAAGATGGAGTTTACATGTTTCTTGAAGGAGTGGTAAACATCTTTAAAACTATTTAGGCCTGGTTGGTACTCTCAAAAAGGTTTTCTTTCTTTTTATCAAATAATCTTTACAGTTATTCTTCTGTTCTTGAAACCAACTTGGTAATTCATATTTTCTTTAAAAATTGTGTAATTTATCTAAGTTTTTAAATATAAGGCAAAAGATATTCATAGCGTTCTCTTCTATTTGTTACACTATTTACTCTGTAGTTATATCTCTCTTTCCAACCTAACATTCTTTATTTACATCTTCCTTTTCTTGACACTGCCTTTCTACAAGAGGCTTGGTATATTATAAATCTTTATTCAGAAATGAACTTTACAGTCCTAATGACCCATTTCTTTTGTCTTTTCTTTATTTAACACATGAGGATTAAAAGTTAAAAATTAAAGCACTTGCCACAGTTCTTAGCACATAGTAAACCCTCCATTTTTATGCTTAATGTCTTCTTTTTTCACTATGTCATTATTTCTCACTTAGCTTCATGTAAACTTTTTATTAATGCAGACAATGCGTACAGAGAGGTACAAAAATGAGCATCCCACAGAGCCATCACCCAGATCAAGGAACAAAATGTTAACAGAGCCCCACAATGCCCACCAGACTCCCTTCCCAGTCTCTGCCTGGCCCCAGCAGACCCACCATTCTCATGCTTAACAAATTAATTCAATTCGATTGGATTTGAGTTTTATGTATGTGGAAGTGCAATGTAGGAGCCTTTTCTATTTGACTGCTTTTGTTTAGCACCATATTTGTAAGATTCACCTAGATGGTTATATATTCCATTTTCATGACTAGATAGGCATCCACTGTGTAAATCTACTACACATGTATCATTAATCCAGTCTATGGTTGCTGGACATTTGGGATATTTTCGTTTTGGGCATTACTACACGTGGTGCCACCATAAACATTTTTGTACATGTCTTTTGGTGAACACATGCATGCATTTCTGTTAGTGAAATTATGCTTTCATTTTCCTTTGGTATATAGCTAGGAATAAAATTTCTGGATTGTAGATATAAGTACATTACATAAGTACATTTATTTAATCTTTATATTATCCAATGAGACAAATACTTTTATTATGCATGAAAATGTCTTTATTTCATCTTCATTCTTTAATAGTAAGTAGTTTGGCTACGGAAAAAAAGACAAGGTTTGAAATTATCTTCCCACAAGTACTTTAAAAATTATACTCAAAATACCAATTTTTTTTTTCTTTGTGGATAATCTGAACTTTCTCTCTAATGCTTTCATTTTTAGCTTTTTTCTTCTTCCTTTTATTGGTAGGTATGAATTTTTTTAAGTTTATCATACTTGGTACTCAATGGAATTTTTTTAAGAGATCTTTCTTTAGTTTTGGGAAATCCCTAGCATTTATCTTTTCTTGCATTGCTTCTCTACCCCACTCTCATTTTCCAGAGTTTATAATCCTATTTCTCATAACTCTTCTTTTATCTTGTTCTGTCTCTGTACATTACACTTCATTTTTTCATGTATTTGTTGACCATTTGTATGTTTTCATTTGAAAAACGTCTGGTTGGGTTCTTTGCTCATCTTTAATTTTTTATTTTGTTATTCAGTAGTTTGAATTCCAGGTGTATTTTGGATATTCACAATTTATCCAATGTATGACTTGTAAATATTTTCTCTCAACCTGTGGGTTATCTCTTTGCTCCATAAACAAGAGTTGCCTGTATGTGTGTCATCTCCAAGAGCTGGGGACCGTGCATGGTTATTAGTACTGACACTGCAAATATTCAAGAGAATTACTGACTCACCCCAGGTCAGAGTAGCCAGGGTGAGGAGCTCGGGGATAGTGTTCTGACATACTACATATTCTGGAGAATATGGGTCAGTTTGAACGTCAGCATCTCGATAATCAGTCTGAGTGCCCACAGTAGACTTTGAAGGAATGTGTGGGTACTTAGAAGAAGCAGAAGGAAAAGCGTAGGGTTCCATCCTAAAAGGGGAAAATTAAAAAGTTAAAACTTGATGTGATTATTTAAAATATTATATAATCATGAAGAAATAAATCCTTGAGCTTCACTAAATCCATTTCCCCTTTACATGCTGATAGGCAGAGTTATGAATCCAGTGTAACCAGGACTATGCTCCTAAATCTTGGTAGAATTACCTTATTATTCTCACTTCTGCCGAGGAACTGAGTAGGAATAAATACCATAGTCTATTCACAAAAGTGCCTATGTATCTGTGCATCATTAGACAAAGTATAGAAGTTGGAGAATGTTGGATAGCACTTCTGGCCCTGTTCAGAATTACATTCTCTGGTTTCTCCTCTACATTCAGTTGCACACCAAATCTTAGTTATTTCCCTCCAGAAATACAAGCAGAGGAAAGAGGAGAGATGCTTCCTGTGAAGGAAGGAAGCAAGCAAACAGGGCAACCTGTCACCTGTCTCTGAAGATGACTCAACAATTAATGCTGGGATAATTTGGTTAACAGGAAAATTACCTCGTCCCTCATACAAAAATTAATGTCAGGTCATTTTAAAATATTAATGTAAAAGTTAGACAACAAAAGCACTAACAGAAAGCCTATGTACGTTTTTTGTTTATTTGTGTTTTGTTTTGTTTTGGTTTGGGTTGGGTTGAACTCAGGGCCTTCACACTGAGCCATAGTCTCAGCCCTCACAAAGTCACTAAATTGCCTGGGCTGGGCTCAACTTGCAATCCTCCTGCCTCAGCCTGTCACAGTGCTGGGATTACAGAGTGTACCATGCCTATCCATAAGTATTTAGATCATCCTCTAGTACAGGTCTTTTTAAGCATGGCTTAAAAGCTAGAGGCTGTAAAAGAAATGATCATAGAAGATAAGTATACCTCAAAATATCACAAGCCATTTTAAAAAGTGGATGACAGGGGCCAGGGATTTAGCTCAGTGGTTCTGCCACCTCGAAAGCACAAGGTCCTGAGTTTGATCCCAATACCAAAAAAAAAAAAGAGAAAAAAGTGGATGACAAACTTGGAAATAGATTATTGCAATGTATATGATAAAAAATAGCCTTTCTATAGTAAAAAAACACAACTGTGTAAATCAATAAGAAAATTTATTCCTACATAAAAAATGGGTAAAGGACAATCACAAAACAGAAGGTAAAAATTCTAACAAACATGCAAAAAGATGATGAATATAATTCATAATCAAAGAAAATTAATTTAAATAAAAAGATTATTTTACACTTTTATTTAAAAGATAGAAAGCATTGATAAAGTTGTGAGAAATCAGGCATCATCACTGTTGATGGAAATACAACCAGCTTTATCATGTACTTTATCATATCAATAGATATAAAACCTTTAAATACCTTTAGCCCTTGCAGTTATACTCCTGAGAATTTCCTCTAGGAAATGACTGCACAGTGTGAAAAAACACATATGCATGCACGTTCACACATACAAGTAAATTAGAAATTTAAATGATCACTAGCAATAGAAGAATTGTTAAAATATGACACACCCATAAGGGAATTTATGTGACTATTCAGAGGAATAATGTGATCTATATTTATGAACATTCAAATATATCCACCATTCAATGTTGCAGAATTTTTTCATTTATTGCTTTCTAAATTTTCTTTTTTATGTGTATTAAGAAAGAAAACCAATATAGCCACTTTCATTTTTTTTTAATAGGGTTTTATTCCTACTTGGTAGAAGAACTGGTTTAATTACACAGATAATAAATAACTAATGAGAAGAGCAAGGGGGCTGGAGGTACAGCTCAGTGGTAGAGCATTTATCTGGCCTTGGCCTGGATTCCCAGCACTAGGGGGAAAAGGATAAAGGCAAAAACAAAGATATGTTTCCAATTTGAAAAATAAGGCAAGGGGAGGTACTTATTTATGAGCACAGCATATTCAACAGCCTAACTCTAAGAAAAATGCACTTCAAGTCAATTATAAGGAAGTATTTATTTGGAGGTTCAATCTATGATGGAAAAAGCACTTTGAATAATTTTTAATGCTGAACTCTCGCTGGTGTTGAAATCACTTTTCAAGCAATTGCTCTGAATTTCTAACACATGTAGGCAATATAGGTATTTATAGCTTCCTATGTTTTCAGCAGAAATTATTTTACCATAGAATTTTATTAGAAGCCGGTGCAGTGATGCACACCTGTAATCCCAGCATTCAGGGAGGCTGAGGCAGGAGGATCACAAGTTGGAGCCCAGTCTGGGGAATTTAGTGATTTTGCAAGACCATGTCTCAAAGGGAGAGGGGTTGGCATGTACATCAAGGTAAAGGCACTGGGTTCATTCCCAAATACTAAAAGAAACAAATAAAATGCTATTTTAGAAAATAACTTCACATCAGCTTTATATCATCCAAATTACATGGAATTGTATTATATTATTATACTATTTAATCAAGAGAATAAATTCTCTTTAATCAAGAGAATAAATTCTTTTTGCAAAGTAAATACTCATTCGAACCATCTAATCCAAAGTACTTTTATTGTGATGAGGCCCAGTACATTCTTCTGATGAATTTTCCTGGTGGTTTGGTATCTTTTTAGGAGGATCCAAGAAAAGGATGGAAAAGAGGACATAACTCCTACTGTAACTTAATACACAATTTCCTAATGGACTCTATACTTTCTCCAGCCTATCCCTTTTTCTCCATTTCAGATGATTTTAGAGAAGAATAAAATATGAAAAGAAAGAGCAATGATTCCTTCTCCACCTCCTCCCCAAGTTTGATTGGGGCTTAGCCCCAGGAAACTGCACCTCTGCTGGGGTTTGGCTTGACCCCTGCTATCACAGCTGTGTCACCATGTGGATCACAGGCTCCCACTTGGGAGTCTTGACTGAGGCCATGGCAGCTCCATTCCCTCTCCCTGCACAGAGCAGACACCAGGAGCCCACCCGCAGCTCTACATGTACCACACCCATTGTCTTTCTTGATTTTCCCCGCTTCCCAGACCCAGCAAATAATATTCTGTTATTTAGAATTCTGCGTGTTTTTAAGTATTAACTTTTTATTCTCCAAGATGTTTGTGCAGAATCCAAACATGCTAGCCGTGGAGAGGGTGTGGATGGAGGAAGTCAGCTGCTCCCTGCTCAGTCCTCCGCTGCTAACATGAGGTGGGGATTCCTCACTGCTCAGAAACTCAGACCGACCAGAACTCTAGAGTTGATGTCACTCAAGAAAACTGACCCAAAGTGGATTAAAGATCTAAATATTAAAACAGAAACACTAAACTTGGGGGAAGATAAGTTGGGTAGAACTCTTGAAGACGTTGGCATAGGAAAAGACTTTATGAACAAAACCACAGTAGCACAGGAACTAGCACAAAGAATCAACAACTGGGATCTCATCTTATTAAA